TGGGCTACCAAGTGAGCTCCAGGAAAGGCACAAAGCTACACAGAGAAACCCTGTCTCGAAAAAACCAAAAAAAAAAAAAAAAAAAAAAAAAAGAAGATGCTGGGTTTCCTTGGTATCGCCTGGGTGAGGATAGGGTACTGGGCTGTGTGATTGGCATCTGTCAAATGCGAAGGATTTGGAAGGGAACTGAGACCTTCTCTGCTCCTAGAGTACCTTGCATAGGCGATACTGATGTGCCTAACCCCTAACTCCCCTGACCCCTCCCCCAAGAAATACATAGTTTTTCTCTTCTTTGAGTATAAATTTTTCTCCTCCACTTGCTCTTCCCACTTCTTAATGATGCAGCTGCCCTCTTGACTTGCAATTCATCATAGAATTTTTGCTTCAGGCACCCGAGGATGATCTAGAAGGGTGCCCCCAGGAAAGGAAAAAAAAAAAAAAAAGATGTCTCTTGTTTAATCTGAATATTGAGCTGGGCTGGGCTGGGGTGGCTGTTGTGGTTTCTTGTTTCATGTGGTGCCATAGTTATCTAACTCCACGGAGAGAGATAGCATCTTTCCTTCCGGAGAGAGCCAGTATTGCCACCTCAGTTCACACAATCCTGAAGCCACCTTCAGGGTGAGACTCAGCACCTGCTGAGCATCCCCTTAATGCAGCCCACGAGGTGTGTTCTCCTCACCTTCCTTAAAAGGCTTGATTTCTGTCTAAAGAAGCTTGGCATGTATCTTAAAATAGATGGGAAATCTTATTTGGCTTATAGACCCTTAGCTTTCTTAGCATCCATTAACTTTGACAGACTTAAAGAATCTGTTAGTTAATCTATCAGGCCCTGTTGCCTTATCAGGTTTTATTTTCCTCCACTCTCCAGCTCCAGACCAGGTGTGCATTAATCTCAAGCTTCACTTGAGACCTTCAAAGCTTTCCAAAGGCAGTAAGGCAACTAACACGCATTTATTAGGTTCTTGCCTGGATGATAAACCACTGAACCACTGTTGTAACAGAAAAGGACTAGCAACAATCATTCCTGTGGGTTTCTTAGTTAGTTAGTTAGTTAGTTAGTTAGTTAGTTAGTTAGTTAGTTAGTGTGTGTGTGAGAGAGAGAAACAGAAAGAGAGAGAGAGACTCACTGGGTAGCTTTGGCTGGCTTGGAACTTACTCTATAGATTAGGCTGGCCTCAAACTCACAGAGAGGTGCTAAGACACCTGGCTTTTTTTGGAAAATGTATAGCTTGATCACAATCTGAGAGAGGAGGTTTAAAAATAAATGAATAAATGAAATGACTACAAGACTAGATTTATTGCTTTGCATTCTTTTAGAGACTAATATTAATAGCAATTATAACTACATTTTTTTCTAGTTTCACATATATTGGATTATTTAGTCCTCACAACAACCTATGAACTAGAGTACTATTATTAAGGTCACTTTAAAGATGAAGACCTGGAAGCACAAAGATGATAATTTGCCCAAAATCACACTGATAGTAGCGGCAACACTAGGATTCAAGACCAAACAGTTTGGCTTCTGAGCTCAAAGCTAAGCTGTCTGCTTAGGAAGAAACTGACTAAAAGGCTTGAGCATAGGTAGGAATAGATGTGGCTCTCCATAGCTCCGACCATAGAACACTTGGATTTGATACCCATCAGCCACAAAACCAGAGCTCACTAGTTCTTGAAAACAACGTAATCTCAAATGAGGCACTCTAATCTGCAAACATACACTTTCTCTAACATGTCCCACCACGCCTTGGGTCCCTGTTCAGTTTTTCCTCTATGTACCAGTGCAGTGAAGTGCCTTCTGTTTACCTCCGCGGACACCCAACACAATCTTTTATGGAGAATGTGTTCTTAGCAGTGCTTAAGTGAACTGAATAATTTCCTTTAGCTACCACAAGAGAGCAATCTGAGGTGGAAAAATGGACATGCTGTAGATCAGGTGAACTTGAACTGGGTCTGGGAGACACTGGGTATGTTCCATTAAAGGAAACTGACATTTACTATGCAACTATATGTCCGTTACTCTCTAAGCACCTAGCATAGTATCTTGTTCAATCCCCAAGGTTGCAGTGCCTGGAAAACTGATACTGTTGACTGTATCAAAGTAGATTCTGTTACACTATTATCTACCATTTTGTGTGAATACTGAAGATGTGAAAAGTAGCCCATGGGCATGTGTGTCTTCTTAAGTTTGGGGGAAATTATGTGCCCTGTGGTGTTGCTAAATGAGTCATGTAGACCCTGTAATAGAAATGGTATGATGCACCTTGTTTTAGTTAGGTTTCTCCAGCTGTGAAAAACACCATGGCCAAAAGCAACTGGGAGAGGAAAGGGTTGATTTCAGCTCACAACTGTCAGGTCACACTCAGTCACTGACGGTAGTCAGGGCAGGAACCTGGAGGCCAGAAATGACGCAGAGGCTGTGGAGGAACACTGCCCAGTGTCCTGTTCCTTCACCAATAGCTTCTCCTGGACTCTCTTCAGGGACTCTAACCTTGCCACATGGTGCCAGGCTTCGCCTTCTCTCCATGACCCCTTCAGTCCTGGGACTTCAACTGCAAAGGAGACTGCACCTTCATCAGTGGCCTCTCCAGACCTCTCTCCAGGAACTCCAGCCCTTCCACACAGCTCCAAGACTTAGCGCTCTCCAGAACCTCATCATGCCTTCAAAAAAACAAAACAAAACAAAACCAATGGGTGATTGATTCTACACTGCCAAGTTCAGCTGCCAGTATGGGATGCAGCCTCAGGCTCCCCTGTGTACTGACCCTGAGGAAACTCCTCCCAGAAGATTTTGTCTCTTCCTATTCACAGCTGATTCTTCAGCCCCATCTGACCAGTACATATTGTCCAGCAAAGCAAAGGTTTCTTTCACTTTAGCAGTTCTTTGTTTGTTTTCTCAAGATAGGATTTCTCTGTGTAGTCCTGACTGTCCTGGAACTCACTCTGTAAACCTCCAGCTCAGAGATCCGCCTACCTCTGCCTCCTGAGCGCTAGGATTAAAGGTGTGCACCACCAGCTGCTGCAGTTATTAATTCAAAATATCACATGGCCCCGGTAGAGTCTTTTTAAGAGACTCTCCGGCTTTCCTCTGAAACTTCACAAGCCAGGCCTATCATCTGCACAGAGCTTGGGTTTCTGGGTTTAGTTCCCACGACAGTTCATTAAGCTCTGAACACTCAACTTTCCCAGCCTAAAGTTCCCAAGTCTTCCCAAACATGGTCATGCCTGTCACAGCAATACCCCACTATTCTAGTATCAACGTCAGTATTCGTTATTTTTCTATGACTTTGATAAAGCACCATGACCAAAAGCAACATAGGGAAGAAAGGGTTTATTTCGTTGACAATTTATAGTTCGTCATCCAGGGAAGTCAGGGCAGGAACCTGGGGGCAGGACCTGATGCAGAAGCCATGAAGAAGTACTGCTTACTGGTTTGCTCCCATGGCTTACTCAGGACCACCAGCCCGGGGGTTGACACCACCCACAGTGAGCTGAACCCTCAAAGCTACATCAGTCAAGACAATGCACCGCAGCCAATTTGGTGGGGACATTTTCTCAGTTGAGATTCCCTCTTCTGAAATGACTCTAGCTTGTGGCAGTTTGACATAAAAACTAACCAGCACACATGAAAAAAAAAAAGGGAAGAGCAACTTCAGAAAAAAATGAAAGGACCACCATCAAAGGCCCCAGCTAAGTGTTGAGGTTCTACCTCGTAACCTTAGCAGTGGTCTATAACTTCATTTTATCCATGTGGAATCGGAGGCCGATGGGGTTAAGATCAGTCAATGGTTGCTGCACAAACCCACAAAGGGCAGAGCCAGAATCAGAACCAGACTGACCTCAAAACCCACATCGGGTTCTGTGCTGCTATTTCTGTTGTTCCATTCTGTGTGGCCCTCTCACAGCCCAGTGGAACTTGTTAGAAATGCACACTGTTGAGCCCCACCCAGACCTGCAAAGCCAGAGGGCTAGATAGAGGCGATGTCTTCAGACACCCAGAAAATTCCAGTGGATGTTCTGGTTTAAGAACTACTGTTTGGCCGGGCGGTAGTAGCGCATGCCTTTAATTCCAGCACTCGGGAGGCAGAGCCAGACAGATCTCTGTGAGTTCGAGCCCACCTGGGCTACAGAGTGAGTTCCAGGAAAGGCGAAAAGCTACACAGAGAAACCCTGTATTGAGAAAAAATAAAAAAATAAAAATAAAAAAAGAACTACTGTTAGGCAAAAAGAACCAGTGAAAACCAGTTCCAACTCAAAAAATTTTAAATTGGTTTTATTTCATCCTCTGGTTAGAAAAAGAGCTACATGTTTACTGGAAAAAGTATAAAAAAGAAAACTGAGATTTCTTATTCAATTTCCTTTTACCATTTGCTCTATATACATACAGCCATACAGACATATATATTTGTATGTATATGGTGTATGTATTTAACATGCTAACAGGTGCACATGCAGCTATATGGTTTCAGAACTGATGTGGGTGTTGTCCTCTCTCACTTTCCACCTTGCATACTGAGGCAGACATCTCACTGCAGGCAAAGCTGCCCATAT